GAAGGCAAATGGTGGTTACCAGATTTTGTGGACGGACAGTCCAGTTACCCGATACATCACTTTTTGGGAATTTTCTGTTCGCATAACCGATGGAAACCCGGGCTTGCCCTAATCGTGAAAGGCAAATTTAGTTCCGCGAACTGAGCGAGTTTTATAGTTCTTGAAGCACCACGCCATCGACGTCACTTGGGAGGTTGCGGCCTGGTTTGCGAAGTCCACGTAGTCTGGTCGACTGTGATTCGACTGTTCTTGTAACACATACACTTCGCAAAAAGCATCCATCACACAGGCATCATCTCTTCGTTGCGCTTCACGCTCGTTTTTCTCACACTCACACGTGTCGGACTCCGACTCCATTCCCTTGTATCTCGCGCCGCTCACCTTCTGCATTTCACGCACGCGTCACCTTCAATGCACGCACACATTCCAAACCCGAATTGAGCAATTTGCCGTCTGAGGCGCTTTCGACGGCCACGACCATGGAGTCTCCCCTTTTCTTGCCCCACCAAACTCTGTTCACCCAAACCCCCAGTTCTGCACTGATCGCCGCGGTAATCTAAAAACTCGCACCCATTTCGGCACTTCCAAGAGGCACTCCCAGGGTAGGCATTTTCAAGAAATGTCTGAACTTGCTCGATCCGTAGACGTAAATGGCGGTCCAGTAAAGGAGTGAGTCAGTGATTCATCCAGCCATCCATCAGTGCGCGACACCCAGCGGTCAGTGACGAGCTCCACAGCGTGTGAAATTGGTGGCTCGTCCGGTCTGTATCAGCTCCGCCGCATTTTGCCTCAGCTCACTCTTGCTGAATTCGAGGGAACAGATCATTCACTGCCTTCCGCTCAGCGAGCTGGGTGCAGCCATGGATGAACCTACTGAGACCGTGACAGCACAGCCCAGCGCGACGGGTAGTGCCGGCACGATGGAAGAGCTGCCAATGGAGACGATATCGCTGTCGGATAAGGTCGACGGGCAAGGCGCGTCTGCGACGGGCGACGATGATGGCGACGACGACGGCGACTCGCAGGCGACGTCGCAGCTGACAGCGGAGAAGCAGCCGACGGAAGCGAGCGATTTCGACGACAAGTCGGACGACGAAATGGAGGCGACGAAGGCGGGGGAGAGGGTGCTGAGCGCGGAAGAAGTGGAGCGCGTTCGAATGATGCTGACGATCGTGGGCGACCGCGAGCGACGGGAACTGGAGGCCAAGTATCCCGAGCTGAAGCAGCAACCGCTGTCGCGCGACGCGAGCAACAAGGAGGAGGGCGACGACGACGACGACTCGCCGCCGAGGCTCATCGTCCCAGTCGGAAAGGATCTGGTACGCCCCGCTGCTCCGCGCTTGCTCGCCTCCGCTTGCGCGTCCGCCGCTCGCCGTCGCATCTGATCGCATCCGAGTCTCGTCTTGACATACCCCAGCGTCCCGTTTCCATTCACTGAATCCCCTTGCCATTTCTCATGTGTTAATCTGGTTTTCTTTCGATTCCCTTCCGCAACTCAACCCTTGCTGTCGTCGCACCTCCCCTGCGACGCAAAATCAGCTGGAGGCGACGCTGGGCGACAATCCCTTCATGCTCGACTTCGGGATTCGCAGCTGCGCCTTCTCCTACAGCCACTTCGTCGGCATGCGACGAATCAAAGCCTTCTCCGAACCCGACGCCTCCGCGCGCTCGTACATCGCGTCCACGTCAGCAAAGATTCGCGGCAACGCGGTGGCGATTAAAGACAAGCTCGAGGAGAATTGGCCGAAGCTGCAGGCGTCGCTCGCAGCCGCCATCGGCGAGTCACTGACTGCCACGTGGCAGTGGGTGAAGGAGCACAAACCGACGGGTTTGCCCATTCCGGGCGCGCCGAAACCGGAAGGGGGAGCTGCGGAGAAGGGGGAGGGGGAGGGGGAGGGGAACGCGGGGAAGGAGAACGGAGTAACCGGGGGGCGGAGGGTGAAGGACGGGAAGCAGCAGCGGAGGGGAAGGTCGGGAAGGCAGAAAGCGGGGACGCAGCGAGAGAGGGGCGGGAAGCGAGAAGCACAGAAGGCGCAGAGGAGGTTACGATCGTTACAGATGAAGGGGAAGGGGAGACGAAAGCGGAAGAAGTGAAACAAGGAGAAGGAGCGAGCGAAGATAGTCGCGTAGAGGAGAGAAAGGAGGAAGTGTTGGACGAGAGGGAGAGGGCGAGGCGGGCCAAAGAGGAGGAGCGGCAGGTGAAGGAGGAGGCGCAGCGGAAGGAGGAGGAGGCGCGGCGGGAGCTGGAGGCGCTGGTGGCGCGCATGGAGAAGTGGGAGATCCTCTTCCGCAACCCCTCCCTCGCTAGCGCCCCCGCGCAGTCCCTCCAGTTCGCCTGCAACGCCGCAGGGTGAGCCGGGCGGGGGAGGCGCACTGAGGGAGGTGTGCTGAGGGGAGGGGAATGGGGGGATCGCAACAGTCTGGGGAGCGTGAGACGAGGGGCTGTAAAGGGGGTTTTATTGAGAGGAGAAGAGGAGAGGTGTGGCTGTGTCTTGAGAGCTGCCCACGCAATGCAGCCACGCACGAAAATGTGCTCTGTTTCCCCGGCCCCTACCAGGTCCCCCACCCCCAACCATGCGCCCCAACCCCCAAACCATTCCCCCACCCCAACCATGCCCTCCATCCCCTTTCTTCCCCCCCGTCCCGCCGTCCCCCCTCGCCTTCAGCGCAGCCTGGCTCTGGTCCACCAGAAGCTCGCCACGTGGCAGCAGGTGGTGGTCTCGCCCGCCGTGCTGCTGGACGCCTCGCTGGCCGTGATTGTAGCGAACGGAGGAACAGTGCCCGAGAACAAGGGCTACCAGCCGTCCTTCCCGTTAGAAGCACAGAAGAGCGACCGGGGAGCGGGGAAAGGGGACGAGAGTGCGGGGAAGGAGGGGCAGGAAGGCGAGGGGCAGGGGAGTGCGATACGGTGGGGATCGGCGGTGATCAGAGGGCACTACCTGCCCAAGAGAATAGGGGAGTCGCTGCTGCTGTCACCACAGAACTTCATGGCGGTGAGTGAAGCATTGCGCTATGCCTGGTCAACGGGGGCCCATACCACGTGGCAGTGTCTCCCGATCCCCGTAATCCATCTCCTCTGTGCCCTACCCTTGCTCCCTCCATACCTCATGCCCAATCCAACCCCATTCCTCCCCTCTCCACCTTTCTTCCCGGCATGTCAGCTGGCGGTGACTCTGCCTGCTCGCCTGCGCACGTCCCCCTGGAGATTGCTGTATTCCACGGCCAGGGATGGCATCAGGTGATTACGCAGGTGGCGTCAGGTGAGGTGACAAGGTGGCATTCCTTCATGCTCTCCAGTAACGCCATGTTCGCAGTCGGGGGGCGGGTGAGTGTGAGGGTAGTAGGCAGTCATGACCATACCTCACAAGTGGCATAAGGTTAGTTCGCTTGAGGTGATTTTACCAATGTTTACCAAATGAGGCCCCACACCACCATGCGTCCGCCCATTGATCATGAACATGGCTAGCACCTCCATGCCTCTCCATGTGCTCATGCTCTTCGTCTCTCTTCTGCTGTTACAATATGTCTCATGTTTTATTGTATGCATGGTGCAGCATGGCAACACTGTTTCGGAAGATCAAGGGCAAGGGCGCATGTCTGCTGGTCGTGCGTGACTCGAATAAATACGTGAGTGCCCAACTGCCTCATGGCTCAGCCAAGTTACCAAACCCATGCCCGAACTACCTAGCCCATCGCCGAGTCACAAAGTTTGTCTCTTTCCTTGCTGGCACCACTTCCTAATCCCCTTGTGTCTCGTGTGCGCATGTGCATTCGTGCGTGTGTGCATGGGTGCGTGTGTGCATGGGTGCACACATGAGAGCAGGTGTTTGGGTGTTTCACCAACGAGGAGTGGCGCCCCATGGACCGCTACTACGGCAATGGGGAGTGCTTCGTCTTCCAGGTACCCATCTACCCCATGCGCCTCCATCCAGCCTTCTTGCCCTGGCTACCTTCCTGCCTTGCTCCACCTAATCTGCCCTCTCCTGCTGCCTGCACTCTTCTGCGCTGCTCCTTAAGTGGTAGTGCATTCTCGCCGAGACCTCTCTGCCAGCTCCCACCATGCCCTCCCACCCTCCTCCTCCCTCCCTCACGCTCTCCGCCTCTGTCCTCCCCTCTTCCACCCTCTCCCCCCACCAGGTGCAGCCGGAGTGTGTGGCGTACAGGTGGGCGCGCACACAACAGCTACTTCATGCTCTCCAGCAATGCCATGCTCGCCGTGGGGGGCGGGTGAGTGGGGTTGACGGGAGAGGTGGGGGAGAGTTCGTGGGTGGTAGATAGGAGATGGTGCTACACTCTAGTTCATTCGGTTTTACCTGGTTGCTTTGAAAGAAAGCCGTTGGCACCTGGTGCTATGGTTTACTCGCATGTTTCTCTGCGTTCTCCTGTTTCCCTACTCTATGCCCTGTACCCCAACTGTACCCTTTTGCCCGTACATACCCCATACCCCACACCACCATACCTCACACTACGCTATGTACAGCAACCACCACAGCCTGCTGCTCTACGCTGATCTCCTCACAGGCGCCAGTGCACCGTGTGACACCTTTGGCAGCGCCATCCTTGCCAGGTACTGCCATGCCATGCCATGCCATGCCATGCCATGCCATGCCATGCCATGCCATGCCATGCCTTGCCATGCCATGCCTTGCCGTGCCTTGCCATGCCATGCCATGCCATGCCATGCCTTGCCGTGCCGTGCCATGCCATGCCTTGCCATGCCATGGCTTGCTATTCCTTTCAGCATTCTCCTCTTAGATGTAGCCTTCTCTGTCCTCATACGCTGCACCATCTTCCATGCTTCACACCTCCTCAAACTGCTTATACATGGCGTTGCCATGTCCCCCTTCCCCATGTCCCCCTTCCCCCATGTCCCCCTTCCCCATGTCCCCCTTCCCCATGTCCCCCTTCCCCATGTCCCCCTTCCCCATGTCCCCCTTCCCCATGGTCCCCCTTCCCCATGTCCCCCTTCCCCATGGCTCCCCTCTCTCCCTGCTCTCTGTTTGCCTCCCCGTGCTGCCTTACCAGCTCGGAGGAGTTTGAGGTGGCACAGGTGGAGGTGTGGGGCTTTAAGTGACCCCACGCCCATTCCTCAGCTCTCACCGTTCTCGCAGCACCACTTGCACCCAAGACATCGATGTGCGCATTCCTAAACGCATCACATAGGCTGCAGCCTCTCGTTAGCTGCGACGGGGTTGGTGATGTGTTTTCTCAATTCGAATCAGCTCGCTCGATGCAGCATCTCTGCATCTGAAGCATTTTGTGGCTTCTCCCACACGAGCAAAACACAATGTATTTTGTGTCGTGAGGCATCTTGTTCTCTCATAGGGTATGTATTGCTTACTGAATACTTCTGAGATGACTTCTCTGCATGAGAAACATACTACCAGCAAAGTGCGTCACATAGAGTTGCCTATTGCAAAAAGGGTTCTGAAAGCACGAGGTTGTGTAGCGAGGCCACCAGCGGCTCCATACCCGATATAGGATGCTGGCCATGGAGATTTGAGATTTGAAACTCCCCTGACAATTGTGAGGGGCACATTTTCACTGACGCACCTCCAGCAAGCACCATGCACAAGGCCACGTGCGCATTCGAATTCTTTTCTCTCCCACTCGCCAACCATTCTAATCATCCAACCTTCCTGCGCCCCGATCGCCTTGCTCTTGCCGCCATGCTCGCTCGAATGAGGGCCCTGGCGCATTCGCGCTGCAATTACAACAGGGCGGGTGTGATTTGCCTGTCCCCAGCGTCTCACTGTCTCCCGCCCCTTATTCCTCGCGCCCCTTCTTCATCGCAACCTTCGCCCGTCTCGTTGCGCGATCGATTTCTATCACCCTCTAGCGATAAGCGCGCTCGAATCATCTCGCTGCGCCCCACGCGGCCATGTCGCAGTCGCGCGCTGCTCTTCTTATCTCCCTCCCCTCCGATCACATCTCTTACCCCTCGTACTCCGATCTCCTGCCGCCCCTGCCGCCAAATCCGCCGTCATCCCCGTTACTGCTCTCCTCGAATCTCGTTAAGATCTTTCATTGGTCAGACATGGTGGATTTGATTCCGCCATTGGCGTGGCTGCACATAACGGTGGGCGTCGTAGGCGTGCTGATCATGACCTACACCTTCATGATGCGCAAGCTGAAAGAGGATCTGCTTATATCGGAGACGTTCGCGGCGCTGGTGGTGGGCGTGCTGCTGGGGCCGCACTGCATCCGCGTCTTGGACCCGCACGGCGCCTTGGGGGAAGAAACGGCGCTCGCCGTGCTGCAAGAGGTGAGCGCTCCGCTCACTCCCCCTTCCCCCATGCCTTGATCCCTTCCGTCAGCCGGAACACCAGCAGCTTCCGCCTTCATCCCACTCATATCATATCCCAACCAATCCCCCTCCCTCTCTCTCCCCCAGCTCTCCCGCCTGGTCCTGGCGGTGCAGCTGGTGTCAGCGGGCCTGGGCCTGCCTCTCAAGTACGTGGAGCGGCAGTGGCGGACGCTGGTCGTGCTGCTGGGTCCCACCATGCTGGCCACGTTGGGCATCTCCTTCGCCCTCGCGCTCGCACTGCTGCCACACGCGGGCGTGGGGTGGCAGACGTGCCTGCTGGTGGCGGCGTGCCTCACGCCCACGGACCCAGTGCTCGCCTCCACCGTCCTGCAGGGCCGCTTCGCTGAGATGTGCGTCCGCAGGGGTGGGTAGGGGCCTGGTAGGTTGGTTGGATGGGGTAGCGTTGTGGCGCGGCAGACGTGCCTGGTTGGATGGGGTAGCGTGTGGCGCGGCAGACGTGCCTGGTTGCTCACTCATCCACTGCTACCCTCCACCGTTCTGCAGGGCCGCTTTGCTGAAATGTGCGTGCTCCGCCATGGGCGTGTGGTGGGGTGGGGTAGTGTAGTGTAGGGTGGGGTGGGGTGGGTACGGTGGGGTGGGGTGGGGTGGGGTGGGTGCATGCAATCCCACGTCAATGCAGCGACCGTGGCACCCCTTTCTCTGCCAACCCTTGCATCCACCTCCGTCTCCCTGCCCCTCTCTCACGCATTGTCTCCCTCCCCTCCCCTCCCCTCCCCTCCACCCCTCCCACCAGGCACCTGCCAGCGCCGCTGCGCTTCATGCTGCAGGCGGAGAGCGGGGCAAACGACGGCATGGCCCTGCCGTACGTGTCACTTCCCATCGCACTGCTGCTGCAGCCCACTCTCAAGCTCGCGCTCACCAACTGGCTCGCTGTCTCCTGCGCCTACCAGGTGTGCTTTCAGGAATATAAATTCTTGTTTTGACTCAACTCAAAGCTCACCTCTGCTGCATCGCTTCTGTTTCGATTCTCTTGCACCTACTAACACTCCCACTCCTGTGACCTGCCCTGCCCTGCCCTGCCCAGGTGGGCTTGGCAATAGCAGCGGGCATGCTGTACGGGCTGATAGCGCGCGGCCTGCTGCTGCTGGGCGACCGCTACGGGCTCATAGACGAGCCGTCCTTCCTCGCTCACATCATCGGCCTCGCCCTCGGCGCCCTGGGGCTTGTTCGGGCCGTCGGTGCGTCACTCTGATTCTTTGCGCTTTTCTGGGAGGCATCATATGGTGGCTAGCATGGTCTCAACTTAGGCCGCTCATTTAAAAGAATCAATGCCTTGCCGCAATCTGCCAACTTTCCCCCCTCCGCTTTTCTCACCCTGTCTCTGTGCATGCACGCATGCGCCATGCAGGTGCGAGCGGGGTGCTGGCTGTGTTCGTGGCAACAATCGCCTTCTCAAGCCGGGAACCCACAGCGGAGGAGGGCCGGTACGACGCGATAAACGGCATAGAGATCATCGTCACCATCACCTACTTCACCTACTTTGGCGCCTTCCTCCCTTTCGCCGCCTGGCGCGCCCTCGGCATCCCCCGCCTGCTGCTCTTCAGCGCACTCGTCCTGCTGCTGCGCCGCCTGCCCGTGCTGCTCGCGCTCGCTCCCTGCCTGCCGGAGCTGCACCGGCAGGTGGGGTCCAAGCGAGCGGTGTACTGTCAAGCGGGGTTTGCGGGGTTCTTTGGGCCGATAGGGGTGGGAGCTGTGCTGTATGCGGCACAGGCGTGTGAGGAGCTGGGGGGGGATGCGACGGCAGCGCACGTGGTGCTGTTTGTGGTGGTGGCATCGGTGGTGGTGCATGGGGTGACTGCTGTGCCCTTCTCTCGCCTGCTGTCGTCATGTATAAAGCGAGCCGAGGAGGAGCACAGGTTGCAGCAGCAACAGCAAGAGCAGCAAGAGCAGGTGGAGCAGCAGCAGCGGGCGTTCGCTGCACTGCCGTCAGTGGCAGCGTCACCTGCAATGGACTCAAGTAGTGAATGCTAGTGGATTGATTGGCAGACATAACCATACGCTTGTTGGATATACGGTACCTGATTCTTGAAATTGTAACAATAAATGCATGAATCAATCCTAACGGTTCTTCTTTGTACCGGTTTCCTGGGATACAAGCCCAGCCACTTAATTCGTTCCGAAAGCTGTTGAGAGTAGTATAATATGGTACAGGTAAGACATTTGCAATGACAGTGTCAAAAGAGTGTCACAACAAGTTGATCCCTTCACTTCACATCACAAGCTGCTCCAGGTGGCTTGCGTTGTCACCGCAGAACCTACGGTATTGGCCTGGTGTGACAGTAGTGGGCGGGTGTGATAGGTGGTGGTTTCGAGATTGAGTTGGGTGGTGTGAGTCTGGTGAGAGTCGGTGGTGCGCATATGAGTGAGTGGAAGTGCAGCGGACGCTCTTCATTCGCGAGCGCCAATGAGCGATGATGCTCGCAACCCTCCCACGCCCTTGCTGGCTTGGTAGTAGGCCTAGACAAGCGCAGCCACGTGATCCGGTGGAAGAAAAACGCTCGGAACGAGTGCTTCCACCCCAGAACGCGCTAGGATCCGCACATATGCAGGAAGTGCAGCGGACGCTCTTCATTCTCAAGCGCCGTTGACCAATGATGCTCGCAACCCTTACACGCACTTGCTGGCTTGGAAATAGGCCAAGACAAGCGCGGCCACGTGACCCGGTGGAAGAAAAGCGCTCATTGCGAGCGCTTCTAGCCTCAAAACGCGCTAGGATCCGCACATGTGCAGGAAGTGCAGCGGGCGCTCTTCATTCTCAAGCGCCGATGACCAATGATGCTCGCAACCCTTCCACGCCCTTACTGGCTTGGCAATAGGCCCAGATAAGCGCAGCCACATGACCCGGTGGAAGAAAAACGCTCGAAACGAGCGCTTCTAGCCTCAAAACGCGCTAGGATCCGCACATGTGGAGGAAGTGCAACGGGCACTCTTCATTCTCAAGCGCCGATGACCAATGATGCTCGCAACCCTTCCACGCCCTTGCTGACTTAGCAATAGGCCCAGACAAGCGCAGCCACGTGACCCGGCGGAAGAAAAACGCTCGGAACGAGCACTTCCACCCCAGAACGCGCTAGGATCCGCACATGTGCAGGAAGTGCAGCGGGCGCTCTTCATTCTCAAGCGCCGATGACCAATGATGCTCGCAACCCTTCCATGCACTTGCTGGCTTGGCAATAGGCCCAGACAAGCGTGGCCACGTGACCCGATGGAAGAAAAGCGCTCATTGGGAGCGCTTTTAGCCTCAAAACGCGCTAGGATCCGCACATGTGCAGGAAGTGCAGCGAACGCTCTTCATTCTCAAGCGCCGATGACCAATGATGCTCGCAACCCTTCCACGCCCTTGCTGGCTTGGCAATAGGCCCAGACAAGCGCAGCCACATGACCAGGTGGAAGAAAAACGCTTGGAACAAGCGCTTCTAGCCTCAAAACGCGCTAGGATCCGCACATGTGCAGGAAGTGCAGCGAGCGCTCTTCATTCTCAAGCGCCGATGACCAATGATGCTCGCAACCCTTCCACGCCCTTGCTGGCTTGGCAATAGGCCCAGACAATCGCAGCCACGTGACCCGGTGGAAGAAAAACGCTCATTGCGAGCGCTTCTAGCCTCAAAACGCGTTAGGATCCGCACATGTGGAGGAAGTGCAGCGGGCGCTCTTCATTCACAAGCGCCGATCACCAATGATGCTCGCAACCCTTCTACGCCCTTGCTGGCTTGGCAATGGGCCCAGAAAAGCACAACCACATGACC